CCATCCCTCCCCCCCCTCCATCCATCCATCCATCCATCTTCTTCTTCGTCTTCTTGTTCTTCTTCAACGTTGGTTAGCAACCTTCCTCCATTCCTCCATTCTCCCATCTCGCCATCCCTCCCCGCCTCGCTCCATCCTTCCATCCATTTTCTTCTTCTTCTTCTTCTTCTTCTTCTTCTTCTTCTTGGAGGTTGTTTAGCAGTCTCCCTTCATCCATCCATCCTCCCATTTCGCCATCCCTCCCTCCATCCATCCATCCATCCATCCATCCATTCATCAATCCTTCTTCTTCGTTTTCTTCTTCTTCTTCTTGAACGTTTTCAAGTTGCAGGGCAAGAATTGAAGCTGCAGGGAGGAGGTGCCGCCCCGTCGATGTTCGTCCCACAGCCTGAAGAGAAGCAAAAGAAGTTGTAGGGCAAGAAGGAGATGTGGAAGCATGTGGTACAAGGGCAGGGGAGAGTATTGGCTGAGGTGTTGAGTATGCTCGACCATTTGGAGGGGCACGAGCACACGAGCAGTTGAGCACTTCATGAAGATGCTCAAGTCGTGCCCTTTCCGGACAGGGGAGATTGTGCATAAGGTGGTGGCCCAAGGGGCGAAGGTGCTGCCAAGCGACAATACGACTTGCTACCTGTTGCAGAATTATCGACAGTTGCACATGTCCATGGGGGGGGCTGCAGCAAATGACGATGCGAACGCGGTTGTTCGTCGTGGTTATGAGGAGGAGCCACAACCGCCGATTACCGCCGGGAGGGAGCTAGTCGAGGAGATGGCGCAGCGGGGAAAGGAAAGTGCAGCGGGGGAGGCGTTGCGAGAAGAGTGTGATTCCACCACAAGGGTGGCTCCGTTGCAGCAAACGACCATCACGAGATGGGTGGACAACGCAACTCTAAAGAAGTTGGACATTGCATGGGCGGAGGCAATGTTCCGGGCGGGAATTGCATTCAATTTTTTGAACTTTGGGACCACTCTCAAACAGCACGAGGTGTATTTGGAGGTGGCTAACGCACGACCGAAGGTGAAATTGCCTTTTGCAAAGCACATCCGGACGATGATGCTCGACTTTATCTTTTTGCGCACTCAAAAGCAAGTGCAGCCTCTGACTGCATGCTGGGATGTCACGGGCTGCACTTTCATCACTGACGGGTCGAGCGATGAGAGGGAAAGGCCTGTCATGAATTTATTGGTGGCGGGGGAGCAGGGAACGGTCCTAGTGGCGAAGGTGTCGATGGACGGAAAGAAGAAGACCGGAACTGCGCTGGCCAGACTTTGGGAGAAGATAATGAGGGAGGTCGGATTGCATCGCATCAATGCAATTTGCACCGACAATGCGGAGGTGAACATGAAGGCCACGCAGGTTTTGGAGCGGCGCACGGACTTGGCGGTTTCATGGATACCTTGGGTTCCGTGTGCTGCGCATTGCTGCAGCTTGCTGCTACGGGACATCAGCAAGTTGGATTGGATCAAGGGCACGTATAGCCACACCATTGTCAAGTTTATACGGAGCCACCACTGCACACATAGCCTAAAGTTTATACGGAGCCACCATTGCACACATAGCCTAATGATGTAGTTGGACGACTCGTTATCGCTGTTGCGACCGAGCGAGGTCCGTCTTGGGTCGGTCTGCATGATAATGGAGCAGTTGTATGATCGGAGGGCGGTTTTGAAGCAGATGGTTGAAGGGAGCCTTGCCGGGAGATGGAAGGCGATGCGGTGGTCGATGACCAAGCTGCAGTCCAAAGCGGATCTTGTCTTCTTCACGTTGAGGAGGGAGGGTTGGTGGACGGAGTTGAAGAAGGTGGTAGAGGTGATGGAGCCATTGTATGCCTTGCTTCGGAGGATGCACAAGGACGGGACTGCCCCGTCAAACCTTGTGGAGTACCCCCGACTAATAGAGAGGGCGCTGGCGGAGGCCGTGCTGACCGCGGGGCAGCGAGGTAGGGTGCTCGAGAAGGTGAGGGACCGCATGAAGATGATGTGGCAACCAGTACACACCTTGGCTTTTATTCTCGTCCCACGGAGGAGAGAGCCGAAGGAGTTGTTGGACCGGGACAACGCACTTGTGCAGAATGCGCTGCGTTATTTGCAGCGGCAGATCGGCGGTCCTTGGAAATCGGAGGCCCACGTGGAGATTCTCAGCGACCTGCGGGAGTTCCACAAAAAACCCACCGCGTACGACCCCCGGCGCAAGGACTCGAAGATGTGGGATGATGATGCAGTCGCGGATTGTGACCGCATCTCGCCGTCAGAGTGGTGGGCAACTCATGGCGGCAGTGTGCCGAAGCTGCAGTCCATTGCCATTAAAGTAATGGGCATGTGAAGTACGGAGACTCCGGCAGAGCGGAATTGGTCTTCGATGGACTTGGTCCACTCGAAGCGGCGGAATCGGGTGAACCCCTCAACCTTGGAGAAATTGGTGTATATTCATTGGAATATGCAGCTGCTGCTGTCCGGGAAGAACTTGAAGGATCACGGCTACTTCGACTTGTGGGCGCAGTTCTTCGAGTCTCTTCCAGAGCCGGAGGTGGATGATGGTTCTATTTTGAAGGACCCGGTGGAGTAGAAGGACAAGACGGAGGAGGAGCTGGTGCGGGAACGGGCCTTCATCAAGACACCAAAGGGCAGGATTCCGAAGAGCCTTGAAGACGAGGAGGAGGAGTGCACCGACGACAGCGACCTTGACGACGAGGTGTGGGAGGGGAAGACTCCATGGTCGGAAGCGTCTAGCGAAGGGGAGGTTGATGAGTCATCGGACGATGACTTTGAGTTGGGAATCCCATCGTCAATCCCATGCACCACATATGTTGAGAGGAGGGAAGCAGCACAGCGCCGTCGAGAACGGCCGCCCACAACTCCATCTCAATGCACGGCGAATACCACAGCACGTTACAACATCCAATCGGATGTCAAGCTACCACAGACCGACACTGACATGGAGATGGTGCTTCGCCCCGGTCCAATCAATACGGACGAGGAGGCGGCCGACCTTGCAAAGGCATGGGCTGGTTCGGATCAAGAACGGGTCCAAAGGAGAATGAGGGAGGAGGAGGAGCGGCACGCAGCCATACCAACCCGCAGAGAATTGGAGAAGCTAAAGAAGAGGGTTGGAGAGCGAGAATCGGAGCCAGTCGGGAGTATGGGCCAGCTAGAGGAGGAGAAAGAAGAGGTGATGGGCCAGCAAGAGGAGGAGGCAGAACACAAGATGGGCCAGCCAGCGCAGGAAGAAGAAAAGATGGAGGAGCAAGAGGAGGACGAAAAACAGGCTGGCATGGATCAGCGATAGGAGGAGATGGAGAAGGAGGAAGGGAAGGGCTCCGAACAGCAAGAAGAGGAGCTGGAAGAGAGCGAGAAGGAGCATCAGCAGGAAAAGATGGAGAACATCGAGGAGCAGCAGCAGCAGAAGCATGCACCGACAACCGTTTACAAGCGTCGGAAGCAAACTGTGGAGGCTGCTGGGCCACCGGAGAATGGTGGTTCAGAACCATTTGAAACTTTTTGTGTGTCCTTGCAGATTAATAAAGTGGGGCAAGAATAGTGGTTTAAACCACCAGTACCTCCAAGCCTCCAATCTTCCAATGGGCGTAGCCAGTTAGAGCAACTGTTGAAACTTGAAATGCATACCTGAATCTGGAATCCAGATGGAACTGGGTGAATGAAATCCCAGAATTACCTGGGGCAGATCAGTATGACTGTAAGGCAGTTGCCCTTTCAAAGGTAGAAAGAAAGGGTATCCTTGTGTTGAGTGGTTTGCGCGCTTGTTTGTTGGACAGTGCTTGAATGATTGGCTCGGTGGTGTTGCAGCTTGATTAGTGTTGCTTATGAGGTGCTCATCTCTGCAAACATAAGAATGTCCAAAATTTTGCGAAGATTATTTCCGCTAACACAATGCTCGTGACCATGAATGTGCACAAGCCAATTTTCCAGTTGGGTAAAGTCATGATGAGCTGCAGTGCATTCACGGGAAGACTAGCTCATTGCATGCCTGATATGAGAACACAAACAGGATCATCATGGATCAAACAACGAAGAAAGAAAGTTGATCAGGGTCTGTGCTTCTAATTCACTCATTTGTGCAGAGAAATAATTCTGTAGAGTCACTCTTTGAGTCTCGGTCCACTAAACGACCATTTCATCAAAATGGACATTTTTTATTTGTTGTTGAGGGTCCAGCGTTTTACAAACGCTGGGCCCCTGGCTGTATATGGACCTAGCTTGAGACCGGGTACCTCCAGGCAGTCCTGCCTGGAGGTGCCTGGTCTCAAGATAGGTCCATGTACAGCCAGGGGGTCCAGCGTTTGTAAAACGCTGTTCGATAAGTCATAGCGTGTTCAGTACATGTGTCAGTCCAGATATCTGCGGAACATTGAGTAGAGGAGCAAGGCCTTTGTGTATGCCAATTACAATGGTTATCCTAACATGTTTGCTTCTTCTGGGACACATGGGCGTCCACCATTCAACAGCGGTTGCTTTATGCACCTTTGGGACGGGTGCTTGTTCTGCAACCCGATGCAAGACAGTCTCCTCCGCACCCGCTGCTTCCTGCTGGGAGTGGTTTGTATCATCTTGACCATCCTTCTCACGATCACCAACCGGGACAAGGGCGGGAATTAGAGGTCAGGGAAGCCCAGCGAGCATTATTGAACTCTCCTCATCCGCTTGAGATTCTGTCGGACCGAGCAGCATACGGCAGTGAAGGCATGATTTCCCGTGATCATGACCCTGGGAACTACACCAAGGTTCTGAACAGCATCCTTCGGAAGGAGGTGAAGAGGTGGAGGAGGATGCAGAGGGAGCAACGCCGTCGCCTGTGGTGGCCTCTGGTAGGTGCTGGCAAGGGGGCAGGTCTCGGAGTTCCAGAGACAGAGGTTTTAAATGAGAAGGATGAAGCAGATGATATGGGGAGAGCTCTAATGGTGAAGGGTGGAACAGGAGGAGTTATTCTTGCTCGTGTGGGTGATAGGAGAGCACGGTCGCAACGATCAACAAGCAGAGTCGCTGCGGGGAGAAGATTTGGTTCCTTGGTTGCATCGCAGCATATACACATGGGTTTGATTGCTATGCTTGCTACCTCCCAATGGTGGTGGGTAGCATCTGGCTCGGTGGGAACTTTGTCAGAATTCATCTGAGGGGTGGAGATGCCTAACTCGTCTCTAAAGGCACACAAATCTGCATGTGTGTGTGTGTGCTGTCTCTTATACACATCTAGATGTGTATAAGAGACGGACGTGGGGGAACCCAACGTGGTTTGGCTAGGACT